GAAAGAAGAAAAGAACCAATTCTACAAAGGAGGCAGGCAAAGCAATTATCCAAATCAGAATTTAATGCAGTATGTTAATTCAAATACCTCACTTTTTAAAGTAGTACCATCAGATCTTTAAAGACTGAAATGGTCAGGACCCTAATTTCATGTGTCACCTGAAGATTAGATAATCACTGTAATCTCCACCTCCCGCCATACTGATCATGATTTCTATCACTGAGGCAGAAAGGATTATGTGAGTTTACAGGCTGGCCAGACCAACCCCAGGAAAGTTTTACAGCTGAGACCATAATAACTGGATATCAGATCTAATACACATTTACCATATAAACAAGCACTATATAACTGTGCTAACATTTATAGACAACTCCAGTCATCTTTTGGTCTCAGTGTGTTAGCTTCAGAACTTACACACCCCCAAGAAAACAGGCATACGAAGTTCTTTTTGGCAAACTTTTCTGTATTCAAACTTAATTATTTGATATTCTTGCTTTTTAAAAAAAAAAGAAAAAAAAAAGTGTCCCTAACAGTATTTCCAGCCAATAAGAAGATAATACCATAAATATTAGCTTGACAGTCTTAAATCTCAACTAACCTTTTCTCCTAAAGGACGAGGAATGCCAACATGCAATTGGTCAAGGAAATTAGCACTACGTCCCAAGCCTAGCACATTGTACGGCAACTGGAGAGCAAAATGGGCTGACTGGCTAAGCTGTCCAGCTGAAATAAAATTTAAAAAGAAGGCCAAGTAAGTATTTTGGGAAGAAAAAAACCAAAACAAAACAGAAAAGCCCAAACCCAACAACCCCAAACCCACCAACTTTCTACACAAATACACATTTCGGTCAGTAATAAAGATGTTTAAAAAATTTTAACAAACTAAATTATTATTTAATTCTTAAAGGCTCAATCCTACGTTTCTAAACTAATTGTGGGCATTCACTTGGAGAACTGCTTAAATGCTTTAGATTTCTAGGTAAGATGAATTTTTGGCTACCATTTTTATGTTAAACTGAATTTCTTGTATTTGTTACAAGTTGAGAAGAAATCAGCTGTCTGCATTTATTTTGACGTGAGTAGTGCCAAGTCTTTCACCCCATTCATTTACCAGCTCAGACTCAACACATGAAGGTTTGCTTTCATTCTTATTAGCGTTAATCAGTAACTACTGGTTTTTCTTGTGTCACAAAATTTGCTAAGTAAATTCTGGTGAACAAATTCTCAAACTATAATAAATTGTGATTCAGCGAAAACAAGATTACAGTGGTTGCAAGTTTGGCCCTAGTGAGAGCATATAATTATAAATAATTAAAGGAGAGACTGGGGGGGGGCGGAAACAACCAAACCATTCTTTGTTTCCTGAAAAGGCAGCGGGGAAACAGACAAGTGTTGCAGCTAGCAACAGGTTCTCCAACATTTCCCAAGTATCCGATTATTCCATTTAAATAAAAATCTTGTAATCTTTTAATTTCTGTCAAACTGATTCAGATCCTATGTAGATTCTTTGTTCATTCTCTAGAAAGCTTCTTAGTAAGTGATTTGGTTACACAGAAGGAATGGAATCCAGCACCTCTTAAGTACCGCAGTGAATTCATCCCTTCACCAGATTAATAGAAATGAATTCAAGGGATACTTGACAACCACAAGTAGGTTTACATCATCAATAGGAACAGTTTTTCACAAAGATATGATGTACAGTCAGTATTTTTTAAGTGTTAGATTTTTCTCTGGTTTGACATCTGACAGATTATGCCTGAAATTGTATAAATTAAGCAACAAAATATAACAGAATGTGAATTAAAGAACGTGAATTCACACTTTGTAATGAATTTACAGCCAACTCCTTTCTACCTCTCCACACTTTCTTCCAAAGCTTGATTCTGGAAGTTAGTATTTTGCTTCAGACAACTGGCTGTTGGCCATACTAGTTACATCTTGCACACTTCCAGTGAACAGAGTGGGGGGGGTAGGGAAAACTCCAAACAACAACCACCACAACTTCTTTGTCAAAGCCAAACATCCTTTCAAGAAAAAACAGAAACAAGCTCCCATTCTTGGTTCCTGGGTGTAGCCTGAGAAGTGCAAGCACACATTTGCCACTGTACAACAGCAGTGATCCCAGTGACTGCACAAGAGTATTGTAAAAGCTCTTACACCAAGGGACTACCAAGATATGACACCTACTTTCAGAAGCAGCTCTTCAGCTTTTGTATCCTCTTACCAGGGACAAACTACTTTGTATATTGGATGATGATAATTTTGAACCCCTATTCAATATAATGATTACTTCATGGTTCTATCTTTCTGAACCAGCCTTCTAGGAAGAAGCTTGCCATATGCTGTCCAGCATGTTTTGAAACAGGCCTGTTTAATCACAAGAGAAATATTTCGTATTATTGTAGTTTTAGAGCTATGATAGTTTTATTTTAGGCAAGGCAAGATAAAATGTCAACTAAATACACTCAGATGAGATCTGAAAAATCACCTTGATGTAGCTACCTTTTTATTAAGCTAAAATGCTATTAGCAAAGAGAAACAGTAACAGTTTTGCTAAAGATTAGGCATGTTTTAGATTTACCTTTTCCCCAGGCAAAACCATGTAACAAGCAAGTAGATGTGGAAGTATTTCAATAGGATTTGTACTTTCAGTCCTCTGTTGTGTACATTGTTAGGCAAATTCCTAGATCATGGAATCTGTGACAGACAGCATTAGCTGAGGAGCTTTAAGAATGAAGATTTTTCCAATAAGTTGAGATAACACAGGACTTAAGTCTGTCCCCGCTTTGTCACTGACTTCCCTTACATGATCTTGGCTAAATTGCTCAATCTCTAGGTCTCAGTTTCCAAGTCTAAAATTCTCAAATTAGAGTAAGCACATAGTATCTGAAAGCACTGGTTACCAATATAAAAGTAGCCAGGAACAAAGGTAGGTTTATTAAATTTGACTTAGTAATAAAAACAAACAAGGTATGTATTACTTGATCATGCTATAGCATAATAAAGAATTTTCTTTAAAGATTTGCTTCACTAATGCTGAATTCTAAAGAACAAAGTGCTGCTGTAATACTTAACATTGAAAAGCTTTTCAAATTACTTTTAACTGAAATATTTAGGATTATGAGGAGACTGCAACCAAGATCTTCCTTTTTTCTTTCATCATACAAGTGAAATGAATGTCAACTAAATTAAAGGAAATAAAAGAAAATGTCATACGCTGTGTGCAGTCAGCCTTAAAGAGGTTAGAGAGTCAGATACTGCAGCCAGAATACTTAAAAGCATTGAATAATTTCATGGCTACTAACAGATAAGGAAAATGAAATCTTACGCTTCAGGATGTAAATAGATTAGTTAAAAAGGTCAGAAAGGAATGTTTTCTTCTACATAGCAGGCAGAAAATGTGCACATACCTTTTCTTTATTTGTCTTTAAAATTGGGAGATATTAGCTAAGCAGGACTTGGGATGATAGCATATGGAAAGTTCTAGTTTACTTTAAAGCTGACTACAGATACGAGATCTTTGAGACTATTTCTTGCTTTACTCCACCTATATCTATGATAAATTCTGTGAGAGTTTGATGGTTACTCAAATGTTCCACTTAGAATTGCAAAAAAGTAACTAAGAATGACAACCATTCATCTGAAGAACAAAAGCGTTGAACAAAGATGAAAAATAAAAAGAGAAATTACAGAGAGCACTGTTAACAGTTTATTGTCATTTCTGAAGTTCTCAGTCACTGGTAATTAATTTACTTATGAAAGTATTTCAAATTTAATTTAAATAGCAACTCTAGCTATTTCCTCTGTTTTAAAACTATTGTAAACAGTTTTGTACTTGTTGCGAGAAGATCTGAAAATATCATTCCATCTTCAGGAAGGTGGGATTTATTTCTTACGCTAACATTGTTCTTTAAGCTTTTGGAAGTCTATGCAAGCAAGATGGAGAAAGTGGCTGTTGCTTCATAGATTGTTTTGCTCCATCAGTAGAACTGTTACTATAAACAAGAATTAAAAATCCTTCTGTCTGTCCATTATTACTTTTAATACTACTTTAAATACTATTCAACACTATCTTTTGCGTTATGCTTCTTGTTTCAAAAGAACTATTTGGAAGCACCCAGATATCATGTGCTGTGGTATTGGTATCAGTGTTCATGTTTATATTTTTATGCTTCAAAAACCTTGGGCAGAGTAAAAAAAACTTCAATACTTCAAGACATTAAGACGTGGTTTTCAGCCGTTTCAGCCCGTCGGAGACCAAATTTTTATGAAAAGCTAATGATGTTGGGCAGCCAAACCTTACAAAATATTGCAGTTTGATTCAGAGATGTTCAGAATGATTTCTGAATATCAATCTCCTTATTTTTGAGATCTGGCATATAAAATTTGAAGCAATACATATCATTAACCTTTTGAAAGTCTTGTCTGAAAAACAGAATGATGTGTCATCTATGACACATACAGTACTTGTTCTTTTATATCTGAATTAAGGCATTTCCCTTCTGTTTCCATTTATATTGATATAAACTTACTGAAAGCTTAAGAGCAGCGCAATATGCCCCAGGTTAAATTGCAATGTCCTCAACAGCTTTTTTCAGGGTGACTAGACCGAAGCAGCATAAGTGCTTAAATGAAGCCAATTTAACTTTATAAAGGGAAGGTGATTGCATTTACATGTAGAAGCAATGCTTTCTATTGCTTCTTTAAACAGAACTGATAACGTGTGATACTGGATTTACAAACAGACTAGTTGAAACTACCTAAATAGAGTCACAAAACTGATACTGTTCAGCCAGTTCAAATAAGCTTATTTTGTGGAATAATAGAGCAGAATGCACACACAGTTGAAAGACTAATGGAAACTCCAATTTCAGACCTGTGGTCTTCTAAAGTGCTATTCTTTAAATTTTTTTTTATTACACTTTCCTTGACAAAATGTCATTTGCTTTTAAGTAGTCCAATAAAGTCATTCAGATCAATTAAAAATACAGTAATAATATTTAGGCTTTCAAAAGTCTCCCAGATTCAATATATTAGAGGACCAAAAAGCTAAATGTATTTTCATAAATAAAAATGTTATGTCATTATTTCTTCCAGTTGCTATATCTTCCTCTAATTTGCAAAATTACACCTTTATCAGAAGCTTGAATATAGTCACCAAAATAGTAACTGAAGATATTTGAAGTGAAAGCTTTACTTCAGTTCCCTTATTACTGCCTTTGGAGTTTTAGGTCACTAGTTGTAAAAAACAAAACCAAAAAACCCCAAAAAGTTGAGAAAGAGCTCTTTTTCTGCTTAAAATTATGCAGTGGCATTTTCAGCTTTCTAAGGGCTGAGGATGTCTCCCTCTTCTGACTTAGCTGTTTGCCTCTTTTCATTAGTCCACACAATAGGAAATTCTAGATTAATGCAGTACACAATTTCACCTCTCAGCTCTTTCTGCAGTATCTTTTCCTGGAGTTCCAGAAATAACTAGGGAAAGTGGATTGAAAGTGCACACTTGCAGCTTTGATACCTATTACTTGCAGTGCTTCTAACACAATAGTTCTTCTAAAAGCTCAAACTCCAAATCCACCGCATTTATAGGAGAAAATGTGTTTCCATTAAGAATAATTTTATACCATAAAATTATAGAAGTAAAACTAGAAACTCTAAAATGGTCATATTGCTAATATTCCAACCCTTTGCACAGGGGCAAGCTGTCTAATTTGGAATGCCTAAAT